CAATATCTTCATTTGGCTATCAAATTCTGCAATATCCTCATTTTGCTGAGCTTTGTTGGTTTACTTCAAAACTCAAAGAAGGTCCCTCTGCAGACATAAGTGGACCTTGGAAGGGCTGGCCATTCAATCCTTGTATAGTTCGACCTAATAACTCAATTGAAAAGGTAGCTGTTGCTTGTAGCTCCAGCAATACGAAAAGCAAAGAAAAATTTGGTCTAGTTAGAGGCCTTATTGCTGTTGGTTTATCGGCATATAGAGGTGTCTATACGTCACTCAGGGAAGTCTCCTTTGAGATACGGAAGGTTCTTGAGCTTCTAGTTGCCGAGGTCAATTCAAAGATTCAGGCTGGGAAAGATAGATATCAATATGTTCGCCTTTTGTCGCAAGTGGCCTATCTGGAAGACGTGGTTAATAGCTGGGCATACACGCTCCATAGGTAAAATGCTTCTATTGCAATTAGTGTCCTTGTAGATTTGTTTATATTTTTTTGTTTTCCTGGATTATCTAATAATGATTGCTAACATTTCAGTTTAGAGTTGGATGCTCCAATGAAAATGGAAAATGCTAAGCTAACTGATGTGAGACATCCAAAAGATGATGATGTGAGACCTCCAGATGATCACCATGTGGATGGACAAGTTCAAACTGAGGAACCCAAGCCAAATAATACTAGCAAATGCTCCGACGAGCTTGAAGTGCCGGAAAGTGTCCCTCAAGGGTTTGATACTGAAAAAGTCGGTTGTGTTGACTTAAACAAAGATGGTGAGTTGGGTCATCCTGATTCTGAGGGTAGACTTGCAATTTCAGATTTGTCTGGACAGAAAATCATCGTAATGGATTCTACCCTGGACAAATCTCTTCTTGGTTCCAGTGAAAGTTTGAATGAATCAGAAAATGACAGAAACCATGTCGAAGTGAATGGAGATTCTGGATCCTTGAAACATTCAAATGGATTTGACTGCACTGAATCTGTTGTCATTTCTGAGGATGGTTCTACTTCTGGTGAATTTGGCAGCATTAAGCTCTCAAGCTCTAGGGCCATCTGCAACGAGGTTAACGGTTTGTCCTCAATGGAGGCTGGTATTATACTTAATAATGGTAAGTGTGATGCCAATGAGCATATTGTAGGCATTGACACCTCGAACAAAATATTTCTCCCTACCAAGTCTGGGGTTCTTTGCTTGTATCGTTGTTGCCCTACATGCCTAGATACCCTCCGCAGTTTGACACATAAACTTCTTATTCACAAATGGGGATCAAATAAGAGCCAATGGACTATAGAGGATGCTCATGATATCGTTGCATCAGCGTCTGTTGATCTTCTTTCAGCCATTAGAAGAATTGTCGGTTCTGGAGGTTTCAGCAACTCACCGGATAATAAAATGAGAGACAGAAATAGTGAGGAGTTCAAATGGCCGGAAGCAGTTACATGTCACTGCAAAAATTCAGGAACTAAGAGTCTTTTGCCAGTGGAATGTAAATGCCACACCATCAGCGAGGACACATCCCTGAGTACTCATCGCAGGTTTGATCCAAAATTTATTTTCAGAGATGGTGTACTGATTCATATGGATCCTGACAAGGATGTTTCTTTCCACTGTAAATTCGAGACCCTGTGCCTCTGTTCTCTTATAGAGTTGATACTAATGGCCGAGCAGCCTTTTCATTGATTTGATCCTTTCACAGCTTGGGTTTGCTATACCCGTGTCAAAGTTTTGTGCCGTCGCCGAATTTAGACGTGCAAATTTTCTCGAGTCTTTGAAAATGAAATTAGTAGTTATCGGCTTGGTGGTCTGAACTATTTTCTGCAAAGTATACTTGTGGAGTTTTCACTCTGCCTGAGGAGCCAATCGCCGTATGTAGTTAGCAGATTTGGACACCATTGTTTCATTCGTTTTTACATACTCAACTAGTTCAGTTGGACTTTTGCATTATATGGTTTTGTTACTAACCCTTGAGACTAGTTTTTGGAAAATGAAATGATAGGGAGAAACACCTGTATGCAAACTTTTCTTTGATTTTAATGAGTAATTTGATTTTAATCCAAGCGATAGTCCTACTCTAAACTGCATTAACGGGAGGGGAACGAGTTTGAATCCGAGGATCAACGAGTTGGAGAGGAATGCCTTAACCACCAGGGCAATTATGACACTCTTGTTCTTTTTCCTTTCCTTTTTATTTTGATCATTTGGATTTTGAAATCACAAAACTGGCCTACGAAAATTATAGCGTTACAAGTGAGTGTAAAAACAACAACAGGTAATGATTTGGAGCATAAAATATCCGGATTTTTAATGACACTCTCATCTATTAACAGGTAACGATAATTTGTAGGATAAACTTCAACTGTACGTAAAAATCATCAAGATGTCAAAGACAGTAAAAGTCGACATAATCGAGATGGAGAAGTTAATCTACAACAACATTAAACAATCTGTTTGAGATTCTGAACAAATCTATCAACATAGCCACTCATAAACCCTGCCTCCGATACTATTTCCCTCCACTTTTCATGGTTCCTCTTCACCATAACACCCACCTCACTCTCCGTATCCATCACACTTTTAATGGCTTCCTTCAAGCTCCCTTTCGAAATCCACCCACTTTCTTCCCTCTCCACCTCCACTGCAACCTTGAGCTCTTTAGCCATTAACTTGGTTCCCAAGATCTGGTCCGGCCATTGTGGCACCAACACAATCTGCTTCTTACTCAACAGAGACTCCCACATCGACCCAAACCCACAGTGGTGCACAAAGCACCCTACTGCTGGGTGGCTCAAGATCAATGGCTGCTGCACCCAGCCCCCAAACACCACCCCTCTCCCTCTAACCCTCTCTTCAAACCCATCGGGCAGTGCCTCTTCGATCGTCTCACAACCCAATAGCGGTTTCAGAGCTACCAAAAATGGCAACCCAGTTAGCTCAAACCCTAGCAAAACCTCTTGGAATTGGTCCTTTTCAAAGATCCACTGGCTTCCAACTGCACAAAATACCACAGACCCAGCCTCAAACCCAGCAAACCACTCAGCCCACCTGTCTTCTAATTGTTGGGGGATTTTGTTTAGGCCTAATACTGGGCCAGTTAAAAGCACAGGCTTTTGATACTTCGCTTCCAAGTAATCGCAAAAATCACCTTCCAGTTCTCTGCACGTTCGGAGGCAGAACGCGTCGCATTCTTTGGTGGATGTGATCACCCTTTGGTAAAATGTGACCCCCTCTCCACACGGCTCCCTAATGGCTATCAAGGACCGGACTTCATAGTCCCGCGTCATACCACGGTTGATGACGGGTACGGAGGAGGTGGGTTCCTCCGCTGTCGTTCCTCGGTCACTGTCATGGGCACACTATTACATTCTGGTGTTGGGACAAGGGCAGCCGCGTATACAGCCGCGCAAATGACACCATAATAAATGGATTTAATACCAAGCCCTCTTGCGATATCCGGTATCCAATGGGCAAGGTCAAAGACGATCATGTCGATTATATGTTTTGGATCAGCAGCACTTGCTTTTAGGAAATCATGTATTTGGTCGCGGGTGCGGTCCATGGCAATGGTGAGAAAATGGATCGAAGATAGCGGGATTTCGGAGGCCGTCTCAGCGCCCTTTGGGAGGCCTTCGACGTGAGGAACGGTGATTGAATGGAAGGTGATGAGGTGTGGGTGGTGATTGAGATGTTGAAGCTTCGTTTGGGCTTTCTTGGGCAACAAGAAAGTGATTCTATGGCCTCTGGCAGCCAGCTCGTTAGAGAGGTGGAGGAACGGAGTCAAGTGTCCCATTGCAAACCATGGGAACATGGCTATGTGAAAATTTGATCTCACCAAATCATGATCCGGTCGCTCCATTTTTGTGTGCTCTCCTCTATCAACGATTCTCACTCTCTCGTGAGGCCTGCCCTTTTATTTTGAACATTTGATGCCTACACACATGAAAGACATGCCCTTCTGGAATTCTGAGTGTTTTTTGGTGTGACCTCTTTGGAGTTTAGTCCCTCTCCTTTTTATCCTTAATTTGTTGGTAGCGGTTTCCACACATGAAAAATGATACGCACTCATGGAACTCATGCTGGTATTGGACACACCTGATATACCAGATTTTGGGCTTGAGAGATGTTTTTACACATCATTTTTAGTTTCTCACAAGTCTCCTTATTTCTGACCATAAGACTGAATGATTTAAAAGAAACAATAGGCATGATTGAACAAGAGTATGTATGAGGTTAAAAAGGGTGTGTGTTTATCAATTCTCTTGAGGATTTTATAAAGTTCTTCAGTTCACCGATATATATATGTTTGTATGTATGTCTGTATGTATGTATATATATATGGTGACTCCGTAAACTTGAGGGGGCGTAATAAAAAGTAATGTTAGCATTTTTGTACCATATTAGCTTACCACATGGTGATGCATAACCCAACATTCAATGAAATAAACAAAATTAATTAAAATAACATGTACATATCACTTATCATATCAGACTTACAATTGTGGTACAAAAATATGACACCCTTAGCATTTTCCAAATTCAAAATTTATTATAAGAATAGAGTTGTCCATATGCATGGAGGTTCAACCTTAAATAACTTTAGTATTAGAGAAAAATAGAATTAACAAATCTAAAACACAAAATTCATAGCATTGTCATAAAACATTTCAATGTATATTGTCCTCGACGAGTTTTCGTAGTCAGAAATCTTTTCATAATCAACTATCAATATTTACTCCAAAGAAAATTGTAAAATTAGGGTTAAGGCATTACCTAAGGAATCGAAATAAAATTGGTCTAACCAAGTATGTTGTTAAGGCTGAAATATCTTTGTGAATCTTCCGGATCCAAAAAAAAAAAAAGTGGACTGCTATGACGATTTAAGAGAGAGAGAGTATAAACCAGATGAAAACACAAAGACGAAAGTGAAACAAACAAAACCGCAAGAGCGAAGCTGAACAGTCTGGTAAAGTACGGGGACTGTTGGGCAATTACACTAATACAAAACTGGTATGTCTTTTCTTCCCCCCACCCCCCCTCCTGAAAAGCCCAAACAGCGAGCAGAGCGAAACAAGAAGGTTTTTCAAAGAGAGCAAGTTACAGCAGCAAAGGTCGAAACGCAGTCGTTCTTGATGCAATTGAGCTTCTCAATTTCTCCATTTCAGAACATTCAAGGTATTTTCTTATTCGCAACCCTTTCTTTTCACTTCCTTATCATCTGTTTGGTTACCGTGAAAACTGAGATATGATCAATAGAAAATTCAAGATTGAATGCAGTTCCTAGGGTTTGTTGCGTTGATTATTTTGTTCATGGGTCTGTTTTTTTTCAATTCGAGAGATGGATTTCATGGGTAGATAGATAGAAAGTAAAATTTCACTTCTTTTTGAAATTTACAGGGTAATAGAAATGGGTTCAAAGGTTCAAGCCATGGTTACAGATAGGATTAGTGAATTGCCAAAGGAACTTCTTCATGACATACTCTCCCTTCTTCCAGCAAAATACGTTGTGAGGACCAGCGTTTTGTCTACAAAATGGGAGAACATATGGGCTTCTGTCCCCAATCTAGACTGCGAATTCGAAACTTTACCTATAGTATGGAGAGAATCTGTGTCCCTCCCTGATGGTATCACATGGGAAGACGAACATGTGTCTGACCATGTCGATTTTATGACATTTGTTGATCGTGTACTTTACTTTCGCTGCGATTCAGTTATTAAAAAATTCCGTCTTCATTGCTACTGTCGTGTTGAGGATGCCCCTCGTATTGATGGTTGGATTCGCGCTGCCATTAGGCGTAATGTCGTTGAGCTTGATCTTTGTGTTCAAGCACATCGTGATGATTATCAAGAGGACCCGCCTTTGGAGTTTCCTCGACGTGTATTCATGTGCAAAACACTGGAGGTTTTGAAGGTGAAGTCAGATTTTATTACCTATGCTCCTCCTACATCAGGCTGTTTCCCAAGCCTCAAGGTCCTTGATATCAGAGTTGATAATCCTGAAGCCGACTCAATGGAAAAGTTTTTTTCGTGCTGCCCTGTACTTGAAGATTTATCTCTATTTGCATGTGTCACAGATGGTAGGCTTTGGAATTTTAAGGTCTCTGCTCCCAAACTGAAGAGATTAAAAATGACCTTCTTAACTGATCTCTATGATGATAATAATCCAAAGTACTATATTTCTATTAATGCTCCAGAGCTTGAACAGCTTGACATTAAGCAGGACTTTTTGTCAAATTATTCATTTGTGAATCTAAAATCCCCAGTCAAAGGCAGTGTCGATTTCTATTGCCATCTTGGGAAACTCCAGCGTCACTTCTTTGAACGAGCAACTGCGCTTCTGAAGACATTTGCCAACGTTAAATATCTGTCTATTTCAGCTCATTTTGTGGCGGTTAGTATATTCCTCAACTCGTTTATTTTACACTTTTTTTTTATTGATAGGAAAACAGGAAGGAGGGCGGGGGGTTCTTTAAGAGAAGAAGGGATGATATGTTTTCCCTTCATTTATAAAGAGGAAGACGGGAGCAGTCAGGCATGCATATAAACCCTTCTTTTATATCCTTTCAAAGTTGGACAGATTGAAGAAATCAAATAGTATTTTGGTTTTGGGTTAAGAAGGAAATAATAAAGAAACAGCAATGTAGTTGGATATTAAAATTCTCATCTTGTTTCTACGTTTTATATTATTTTCTTTTTCAGAATTAGATCTTAATTACCTTTTATGTACGAAACAAATGCGGAAAAGTTTGTGTGCACACATTTTCTTTCTCTCCTTAATTACATGAGGCAAATACACATCCCTGGCATGCCGCATTTTCATTCTTTCTTTGTACCACAAGCTAGTGTTTGTAACTGAAACCTGTATTACGTTTTGACAACTTATGCTTTGAAACAGCATATGCATTAGTAAATGCTTCATTTATGCATGGTTTATGTTTGATCAATATATTATGTTTCAAAAGATTTATTGTCTGCCTGTATTTTGATAGTCCGAGCGAATTGATGGAGTGATTTATCTGCATGATGAGGATGTGTTTGATCAATTTTTTGATATTTCGTGAAACAGGGTTGTCTGCCTGCTTTCAATCATTTGACCGAATTGAAGTTGCTTGTTTTTGATTGCTATCATTGGGATTTGCTAACACAGTTGCTCAAGAAATCAAATAATTTGGAATCTCTTGTCATCGAATATGAAGAAGTAAGATGTATTTTCGCTCATGCTAAGTCATAACAACTTGATGCTCTCTAGTATTCTCATCATTCGTACTTTTCAGGATGAGGAATGCGTTGAGGATCATGAGGAACTTGAAAGGTACTCAAAAGAGGATCTATGGAGTACACCAGAGTCTGTGCCTATTTGTGTGACTGGACACCTCAAGACTATCACTATAAGGGGACTCGAGGGATACCCGCATGTGAAGAAAGTGGCAAAGTGTTTGTTAAACAGCGGTAAAGTTTTGACTAAGATGACTGTTGACAATGAAGAGTTGTACAAAGAACTAATGCTTGAAGGGGGCTCTAGGACTTGTCTGGTTGAAGTTGTCTGAACTGCAGCGTTCACAACGTTTTTCTATTTTGTAACTCCAGCATTGTGTTTTAGATGGATTCAGCCATCAAAGTTGGAAACCAGACAAGCACATCTGTTAAATCCTAAGATGGATCGATTTTCAGATGTTTATTTTTGAGCTGTATACATTTCTTATCCGCTTTGTATCACTTCTTTTAGCCTTGGGTAGAATTCTATAGTGGTGACACGAACATGTATGAAGAGATGTGCTGAAGCTACTCATGCCACAGTCTTCAGTTTCTTTGAACCATATTTTGCATTTTGCCCTTCCTTTTGTATGGAGGGTGTTTATTTTATTGTGAATCAATTCAAATTTTAGTATTTGGTGTTGTATGAACTAGGCTTTTGCATGCTAACTGAAGCAAAGTTTTGTTGAGCTGGAAATGCCTTCTGGGCTGTAACTTTGGCTGAGGTGAGTCGAGTGGAAATAAGATTTTGATGGTTAGGGACACTTGCATTTTGTTAGCACATAGGATGCTAGCCGACATTCACCTCTCCCAGACCCTGCGTAAAGCGGGAGCCTTGTGCACTGTGCACGACCTTTTTTTATAGGATGCTAGTTTATCATAACAAGTATAGTTGATTAACTAAACGGACTTAGTTTTAATTGATTTTTTTGCAAAGGTATCTTTACATAATGTTTTATAATACGAATGATTTAGATCATAAGCACAAGTTTTGAGAATTGGCAATGGAAAGTTTTTAGTTCGAATTCCTACTCGTCTTTTAGTACCCTAGTATTATTATTGAAATAAACTTCAATTGTCATATATCAAAGACGTCAACAAGACATCGAAGATATAATTAAATATGCTCTTTCAGATTGTCAACAAACTTATCAACGTAGCCACTCATAAACCCTGGCTCCGATATTATTTCCCTACACTTTGCATGGTTCTTCTTCACCATAACACCCACATCACTCCCTTTATCCATCACACTTTTAACAGCTTTGCTCAAACTCTCCCTTGAAAACCACCCATCTTCTTCTCTCTCTACCTCCACCGCAACCTTGAGCTCTTTGGCCAGCAACTTGGCTCCCAAGATCTGGTCCACCAATTGTGGGACCAGCACAATCTGATTCTCACTCATCAAAGACTCCCACATTGTCCCATACCCACAGTGGTGCACAAAGCACCCAACTGCTGGGTGGCTCAAGATCAAAGGCTGTTGCACCCAGCCCCCAAACACCACCCCTCTCCCTCTAACCCTTTCTTCAAACCCCTCGGGCAATGCCTCTTCAATTGTCACACAACCCAATGGCGGTTTCACAGCTACCAAAAATGGCAACCCAGTTAGCTCAAACCCTAATACAAGCTCTTGGAATTGGTCTTTTTCAAATGCCCACTGGCTCCCAAATGCACAAAATACCACCGTCCCGGCTTCAAACCCCGCAAACCAATCAGCCCACCTGTTTTCTAATAACGTTGGTCCTTTTTCCAGGCTCAATACGGGTCCAGTTAACAGCACTGGCTTTTGAAACTGTGCTTCCAAGTAATCACAAAAGTCGCCTTCGAACTCTCTGCACGTTCGAAGGCAGAAGGCGTCACATTCTTTGATGGCTCTGAATCCTGTGATAAGCCTCTGATTAACTCTAATCCCAACCCCACACGATCTTGATGTCATCAAGGACCGAACTTCATGGCTACGCGTCAGTACCACAGTTGACGATGGGTACCCAGGAGGTGGTTTATGTTGTTGTTCTTCAGTCATTGTCATGGGCGCCATGCATGCATCTTTGGTCACGTAATTACATATCGGAACTAGAGAAAGTGCGTATGCCGCCGCGCAAATGACACCATAGAAAATGGATTTAATGCCAAGCCCTCTTGCGATCTCTGGTATCCAATGGGCACTGTCAAAGAAAATCATGTCGACTTTACAGTTAGCAACACTTGTTTTCAGAAAATCCTGTATTTGGTCACGGGTGCGGTCTATGGCAAGGGTGAGAAAATGGCTCAAAGATAGCGGGATTTCGGAGACAAACTCAGTCTTGTCCGGGAGGCCTTCAATGTGAGGGACGGTGACTGGATGGAAGGTGACGAGGTGTGGGTGGAGATTGAGATGTTGAAGCAGAATTTGAGCTTTCTTGGGCAACAAGAAAGTAATTTTATGGCCTCTAGCGGCCAGCTCGTTAGAGAGGTGGAGGAATGGAGTCATGTGTCCCAATGCAAACCATGGGAACATGGCTATGTGAAAACTAGAGCTCATCAACTCACGATCGGGTTGCTCCATTTTTGTGTGTGTTCTCCTCTATCATCGATTTTCAGTCTCTCGTTTTATTTATAATAGAGGATGCTGGGTTTGATGAATGCTCAATCTCGTGAGGCCTGCCCCTTGTTTTTAACATTTTATGCCTGCACACATGAAACCCATGTCTTTCTGAGTGTTTTTTGGCGTGATTTCTTTGGAGTATAGTGCCCCGCCCTTTTTTACCCTTATTTTGTTGGTAGCGGACTCGACACATGAATAATCCATATTCATCAAACCATGCTGGTAGTGAACACATCCGATTTGAACTCGATACAACACTAAATTCATCTAAACTACGGTGAAGAGAATTCAAATTTTTGTGAGCAAAGGATGAAGGACACTGCTTTAGCTAACTTGACTAAATCTATAAATGAGTTACATTATGTAATGTACTAGCTAATATATTATATATACATACATAGAACATGATTGATGTTTTCTTTTTTATTTTGGTAATTAAAGACTGTTAGAAACAACGACGATAATACTTGCCTAACCATTAACCAAGTAATTCTCTAGAAGATCGCCGGTGGTCCTCTTCAATGGGATTTAATTGATGTCCGAAGCCAACCTTCCAGCCATCTTGCAGGTGAGTTAACTTATTTCTGACTCTCGCCTGACAGCCATCTTTGCAGCCAACCTACCCCTCGCCTCATCGGCATATGCTAGAATTTCGGGGACAAGCATGATATGGCGAAAGGACAAGGCCAGAGATTTGCATGAGTGAGAGCATCCTCAAAGTTACAGTTAAAAGGCTCAAGAATTTATTGGAAAAAAAATACATATATTAATCTATAAAGTTTTTCATACAACCTATTACAATATCTCTTGGCATGTTTTCGTGTTTTGAAAGCGTTGCGTGATAACATCATTACCAATACCATCAAATATTTCTCTCTATAAAATTAATCATGTTATCATTCATCAATCTTCCATCCAATTTCTCAATCGATTCTTCAAAACCTTCATGGCCAAAAATTGCTCTTTCAATGGTGACAATAGCAACTAAAAGAGTTAGTGCTGATGTCAAAGCAAGTAAGTTAATTATGGAACATGGCTATGTGAAAACTAGAGCTCATCAACTCACGATCGGGTTGCTCCATTTTTGTGTGTGTTCTCCTCTATCATCGATTCTCAATCTCTCGTTTTATTTATAATAGAGGATGCTAGGTTTGATGAATGCTCAATCTCATGAGCCCTGCCCCTTGTTTTTAACATTTTATGCCTGCACACATGAAACCCATGTCTTTTTTGGCGTGATTTCTTCTTTGGAGTATAGTGCCCCCCCCCCCCCCCTTTTTTTTTTCTTTACACATGAAATCTAAATTTATAATTAATTTTTATCCTTAAATATACGGAGTAATTAGGTTTTCATCCTTATTTTTACTACTCTATTGATTAAAACCTTATTACTTTTCAATTTTTGATCAAGGTCCTTTGTATTAATAATATCATTAATTATTTCAATAATAAAATATTTTTTATTTATAAATATATTCATTTAATATTAAAAATGTTACAATTAGTATATTTATATTTATGGCTAAATTTTTTATCATATATTTTTATTTTTAGTTTGTACCCATTTTTAATTTGCAACCCTTTTTTTAATTTGTACCAATTTTCCTTTCAATTTTAATTTGTACCCATATATTAATTTCTTTTTGTGCCCATATTTTTTAAAGTTTTATTTGTATTGTACCCATATTTTTTTATTTATTTGTACCCATTTTTATTTTTGCTAAATGTACCCATTTTGAAGAATGTACCCATGTTTTGATACAATAATTTTTTGGTTATTTTTTATGAATGTACCCATGTTTACACACACACACACAATAGTATATTTATATTTTAATATTTTTAATCCCACAAATTATGTTTTTTATTTAAAATCTCATTAATATAAACAACTATAATTTTAATTTTTAGTTTAAAAAATATAGTAACATACATAGAAATAAATTATCAATTAATTTTAGGGACTTGGATCAAAAATTGAAAACCAACAAAGTTTCAGTCAAAGATTGTTCATAACTAGGGACCGCATCCAAAGTCTCCCTTAAATATACCTTTCTCCGAGGACCAAAATTGAAATCTATACTCGAAATTAACAAAAAATAAATAAAATTAAATTAAAAAAATAAAAAAATAAAACCTCATCCAAAATAATAGTCAAACTACAATTTACTTTATTAACAGTGTAAGGCACCTCTTTTTTCTGAAGTTATATATAGGAACCTCGGACATTATTTTCTTTTGACATCGACGTGTCTGCATATACAATTATACATGCAATTTAAAAAGGGTACTTTTCTGCGTATAATTATTAGAATTGGTTGTTAATAACCCACAATCAGAAGAAAAAAAAAATATTAGATCCAAAACCAAAAACCCTAGCAGCGCCACTCCCTCACTTCTTCTCACTCCCTCACTTCTTCTTTCGCAGTCGCTGACCCCTTCTTTAGGTTGCAGTTATCTGGCAACCTTTCTTTTATGCGGTTTCCTTTCTTTCCTTTCCCCTCTAGAATCTTAGGTCATGCCCTTCGTGGATGGCTTGTTTATCCGGCGTGCTTCGCCATTGTTTCGTAGTTTTCGTCAATTTCTCATTGTTTATCATCGTACTTTATCTTCGGCAAACATAATCCTTATCCTGTAAATGCCCTTCTTCAACCCTTAACACCCATCATATTCCATCTCCTTCATAAGCTCCCCCTTCTCAGACACCACTCCTCCCACAACAGTTGCTCAAAGCCACTAGCGGCAAACCGGATTTAGCCGCCATATCTCAGTCCTTCCCTTACTACTCCTCGCCTGACCAGCGTATGCCGGAATTTCGGGGACAAGCATAATGCAGCCAAGGACAAAGCCAGAGATTTGCATGAGCAGGAGCATCCTCAAAGTCACAGTTAAAAGGCTCAAGAATTTACTAGAAAAAAAAAAACACATATATTAATTTATAAAGTTTTTTCATACAACCTATTACAATATCTCTTGAGGGGTTTTCATGTTTTGAAAGCGTTGCGTGACAACATCATTACCAATACCATCAAATATTTCTCTCTATAAAATTAACCATGTTATCATTCATCCATCTTCCATCCAATTTCTCAATCGATTCTTCAGAAATTTCATGACTGAAAATGTTCTTTCAATGGTGACAGTAGCAACTGGAAAAGTTAGAGCTGATGTCAAAGCAAGTAAGTTAATTATTAATTTAATTGTCATCACGTGGGGCATTGTAGATGCAAATTATTTTAGGGATACTTTGGATGCGGTCCATAATCCTTAACATTCTTTGATTAAAACCTTAATGGTATTCAAAGTTTGATCAAAGTCCCTTGACTTTGTACACCTCATTATATTACAATTAATATTTATATTTTTATAGTTTTATTTTATGAGATTTATAATCCTATAAATTTAAAATCCCTTATTATAATACTATTACAAACGGTTACAATAAAAAAATTCAAACATTTTGATTGAATAAATGGATAAAAACTATGTAAAAATAAGAAATAATAAATGGCAAAAGAATGTATCCATAGTGTTAAAAAAGTTGGTACATTTCACATATAACAAAGTGATACATTAATAAAGAAGAATGGGTACATTGTAAATAAATTAGGGTACAGATAAAAGATTAAAAAATTATGAGTACAAATGAATTTTTTTAAATATAAGCGCTAAAAGAAATTAATACATTGGTACAAAATAAAACTAAAAAGAAAATACTACAAATTTAAAAAATGTTGCAAATTAAAAGTGGGTACAAGCTAAAAATATAAATATATGATACAAAGTTTAGGCATAAAACATAAATATACCATATGTAATTTTTCTATCATTGATTAAATATATAATGTCACGTGACGGTATACACATGGGTACAAACACAAATAAAACTTTAAAAAAATATGGGCACAAAAAGAAACTAATATGTAGGTACAAATTAAAAATGAAAAAAAAAATTGGTACAAATTAAGGGGGGTGTATTCAATTAGGATTTTGAGGGATTTTAATTCTTTTAATGAATCTAGGGGTATTCAATCAGGATTTTAAGTGATTGTCTAAAATTCAAGGTGTATTCAATTAGAATTTTAAGATAGTTTATTAAAATCCTTAGAAATTCGGGTGTATTCAATTAGGATTTTAAAGAAGTTTATAACATTCTAGGTGTATTCAATTAGAAATCGATTTTAAAGAACTTGAGAAAGTTGATGAATTAGAGGGAATTAGAGAGATTTTGTAGTGTATTTTAAGCATCCACAAATCTCACCTAAATCCATTAAAGTCTCTCAAATTCTCAATTGAATACACCTTCCTAAAAATAGGTACAAACTAAAAATAAAATATATGATAAAAAATTTAGCCATAAATATAAATATACTAATTGTAACATTTTTAACACTAAAGGAATATATTTAAAAATAAAAATATTTTATTATTCAAATAATTAATGATGTTATTAATACCCAAATACCTTGATAAAAAATTGAAAATAAATAGGATTTTAATCAATGGAGTAGCAAAAAGAAGGATATGAACCTAATTTTTGTCTACCATTTTTTTTTAGTTATAGTTTAATTAGGGCTGATCATGGGAAGCAAATTTGTACATTTTTCACACACACACACACATGTATAAAGAGTGGGGGCATCCGCCCCCTAGGCCCATAGTAGCTCTGCCTACGGCTGCGGGGCTTAACCAAAGTGTGGGTGATTTAGATGCCCCTTAGCCCCATCTCTTATCAATTGTTTTTGTTTTTGGTTCTTTTTAAAGGTTTATGTGAATGCAGTTTGGATCTAGTGGTTCTCTTCTGGTACGGCAATTTTGGAGCGAAATCTAGTTAGGACAGTTTTCTTGTTGTGGGTTAGAAATTTTTGTGTTACAATGCCTTCATCGAATCCAACGCGAAGTTGATTATCTTAGGGTAGCTACCCTTGTGTGTGCTGGCAATGTGGTAGTGGAAGCGGCA